GACAGTGCTTATGTGAGGCTGGTTCCCTAATGCAGTCAGAATGTTCACAACAATTCATCACACACTAAATTCACATTGCTAAATTCACAACTCAATTTACATGTACAACCTGGTTTGGAGGCTAACAGGCCAAATGTTCAGCCCATCCCCACTTTTGCTATTCAGCAATTTGACAATCTTTTCCTTCTCATGAAATGATTATATGAATAACTCAAGACATGTGAATCTCATGTACTTTGCAATCAACATTACATTACTAGAAAACCCTTGGTTACTTCAGTCTCCAGACTCATGCAGTACACTTTTTTCTTTGTCTTTACATTTTACTGATATAAAAAAAAAACTGTAAATGTACGAGTAAATAAAGCTATTGTTGTTGTCACATTGCACCAGTCACAAACCCTCTCCATGTTCTAATAGGCTTCTTAATGTTAGTGCATTGTTGAGCACTCATTCGTTCGACACATGTTTTTAATAGGACCACATGTTGCTTTTTTTTACCAAAAATACAGATTTTCAAACTTTGGGAGGTTCCTGTTCATTCAGTTTTAATTTTTCAGCCCTGTGAATGGAACCAAATGGATAATTTTTTAAGGATCAAAATCATGCTGGTATGCTTCCCTCTCTTTGAAAATTGCAATTAAAGTAATGTACACAATTTCGGGACCCAGTGCCAGAGACACTTGGTGTTCTGGGCAGTTTAGAGAGAAGAACGACAGGTGATGAAATGGTTAAAATTGTGGGGTTTGCTGGCAAGCATTTCTTCACTCGTCTTGTTTTATGCCAGCCCAAAATGCAGAACGGAGGACTCTAATTTGTATAGGAACTTTGCTATGCAACCCAGGGGGAGACTCCCACATGAAAAGGCCGGGGATGCTCTTCGTCTCGCTTTAATAAGGGGATTTTGGTCTCACTTAGGGTGTTCATGACAAAATACCACTAATTTTAGCTGTCAAAGTATCTTTTAGGGTGCAGTCGAAGAAATAATAATAAAAAATGTTCTTATTTCTGCTTTTAGGCTTGATTTTTGTGGATCTCTCGAGTGTGGATCTCTCGAGTCTGGTCTACAATCTAGCGCAGGCTCCTTTTTTTGAACAGCAGCTGGTAATGGACTCTAATCTGTTTTACAGAGTAAATTTTGGCATCTTTTTAGTTTTAGGGTTCAAATAAAGCTTGAGCCACACCCAGATTGATCTCCTTTAGGGGTCTAATTCAAATTAGAATTAGGGGAGTCTCTGACCTCAGGGTTATGCATGCTATAGAAACTCAAAATATCTTTCAAGAAAAATTAAGCTTTTGAAATTTAGACAAATGTAAATTATACTACAAGTAAAAATCGTTTTCTTTTCTAAGTTTTTTTGGTCACTACTGAGGGGGAGTTGATGTATTAGACATTCTTAAATATAAATCACTCTGACTGTTACTTTTTAAATGATTATAGGTGCTTCATCACTTGGAAGTGTTTTCAGGGAAACTAATGACTTGGAGTCAGTTCAAGTTGTCCACCATGCAATAAAGAACGGGATTAACTATATCGATGTTGCTCCCTGGTATGGTCATGGCAAAGCAGAGACTGTTTTAGGCAAGGTCCGTATTTTTTACAATAATTAGTCAAATATTTAATAATTTTTGTTAGTAATAGTTATCTCGAGTCATCATACTTAGTTACAGAAGATTGAAATAAAAGCATATTCTAAATTAATTACTGTTAATGATTCAATTTAACGCCCAGTGGATAGTAAGGTGTTGTAACATTATTGCATTCCTGGATAGTACATGAGATGGAAATTTCTCAATGGAAAGTACCAGAGTTTTTCTCGAAATTGGCTTTTCACATGAATAAGAAATTTAAGACATGGGGTAAGTCTCTGCAGTTACCATATGCTAATGAAGCAAAATTTTGGTCAACATCAATCCAATATGGTCTAAGCTCTAGTAAGCAACCACCTCCTGTAAGCAACCACCTACACCTGTAGGCTTGACGTTGACATGGTCACTTATGGGAGATTCGACTGCAACACCAAAACTATTCCTCTAGAAGAGAATGCTAATTTAATAAACGATACATTCGGTTGAACTATCGATATCTCCGTATTGTGGACAAGAAAGTGCATTTTATTCCTATCCGCAGTGTTTATTAGTGTGGTTTTTGTTTCACATGAATTCAGAAAGACCTTTGATTCAAACCTTCTTGCAACTCAAAGGTCAATATCATTGCTTCTAAGCCATTATCGGCCTCTTTATTACCATCCGTTGAGTCTTCTTGATGCTTATTACATACCATTTTGAACTCTTTAAAGGTGCATGTGTTTTGGTTCTAAGTACAGAATTTTGTTGTCTAGTAGAAAACCTCAACACACAATGCCTTACTGCCCCCATAGAATATGCAAATGACCAAACACAATAAACACCAAAAAACCTCTGGGGAGTAGAAAAGAGGCAATTTCTAAGTATTTTTCAAAGGGCCATGTGCCTCACCTACCCTGTTAGGGAGTTCATATGCTCCTCCCCAACTCCTACACAAAGTAAACAAATTTCTGTTACAATCTTTTAGTATGTTGTCATATTGCACATGTCCTCAGTTTTATCATTACCTGAAAATTGCAGCAAAAGGGTTGATGAAACCATATTGGATTTTGTATGGGATAACAAACTACATGAAATTAAAACAAATACATTAATTGGAGACAGGAATGTGGGTGGAATAAAAATGAGTGAGTTTGAGTCGATGAATAAAACCTTGAAAGCTTCATGGGTGAGAAGATTTAATACAGAGGTGAACGTGCCGTGGAAAATCATCCCAAATTACATGACTTGACACCTAGGCAGTTTTAAGTTCTAATACTGTCATGCAGTTGTAAAACCAAAGAACTCAATTTAAACAGCATTCCTTGTTTCTATTTAGAAATTCTAAATTGTTGGGAAATGATAAAAAAAATCAAAGCTGAAATAGGTCAAGAAAAAACAGATCCATACAATGCCATAATATGGAACAACCATGAAATAAAAATTGCAACTAAANACAAACAAAATAAATTACAAGTTATAGACGAATACAATAAAAGAAACAGAAATAACGAGCCGAACGTAGACGATACTTACAAACGTTGTATGACTAGGATACTAAGATACACGTAAAAAAAGGAAAACGGCAGGGCGGTAAACGAGACGAGATGATGGTAGCGTCGCGAAGAAAATGCACAAATAAATTAGAAAGACGCATACAAAGGGGACTAAAACAAAGCAAAATTATGCGAAAAAACCTAACAGAACATCGATAACGTGAAAGCGAGATAAACGAAAAGAATGCGATGATTACGAAAGAATGCACAGACAAACGGAAAAAATAACAATTAAATGCGGCTGCAACATCTTTCTTATCTAAGCCATTTTAAAACATAGAAAGTAGTCTGTACAAGAAGAAAAATGCTGTGTACTATTTTCAAATATCTCCTTTTGTTCGAGAGATATTCAAGCTTTCAAAATATGCAAATTAGCGAAGTGATGACATCATAAACCTAACTGAATTTTGATCAAATATGATGAACAAAGATATCTCAGCCAGCTTGTAACAGAAATGTTTGATTCTTTGCAGTAAGACTCTACTAGAGGTGCTCCACAATATGAGCTTAACATTTTTGTTCCTATGGCAACATACCGGGTTCCAGACCAAATTAAGGCTTTTCTGGCCACCTTTAGTGCTCGATATTGATATTTTCCAGTGGTGCCTCATCTGAATGATTCAGCAAGCATACAAATATGTTAGGTCGAGTTCATGGCCTTGTTTAATGTTTTTCGAGGTTTTGAAGTGATGCATGTAGAACTATTAGCCTGCCAAGTGTCAGTGGTTTTTGCTGCATTGTCCGAGATAGCGCTATTTATATACTTGATGTAATATTTGGTTGAGTACACAATGTCATCAGGTATCTCATTTGCACATTTTATACATTTTAAAACTTGAATATCTCTAGAACCAATGCAGATATTTGCAAATGGTAAGCAGCATTTTTAATCTTTCATGGAATTCTATTTAATAAACCTAAAAATTCAAGGGGTAAAAATTTGATCATTGTTCGCCATTTGGTCAGTTTGGGGCCTGCTCTTGTGTGAGTAATTTCTATCCTCTGAATGTGATTCAAGGATTTTTGGGTGTAATGGATGAATGGAGATGCTTGTAATAACTCCAGTCAAAACGATTTGAGGACAAAAGACTCAATTAGCACTGCCAACTGTTGCTTGTGCTTAACATTTGTAGATTGCGTGGCCAATTAGTTACCGTATACCTTTAGAGGTGTTTCACATCCAAGTGATGTAGCATGTCCGGTGTAAACTGTAGATACCTAAACCCCCATATCAATTTATAGCTTAAAGAGCTGGCTGTCAAACTATACCAAGAATTTTGAAATAAAATGAATTGGTGAATTTTTTTACGACCTATAAATGCAAACGTGCAAATCACCTTTTGAAAGCTATAATTCAAAGTGAATTTTGTCTTTCGCTTATTTAATTTGTCCCTCAGTTTCCGGACCCAAAGCACTACAAAAATGTGTCTGCAATATGCCTTATTCAAGTGACACAGTGAAAGTTATAGAACATTGCTGAAATAGGATTTAAAAAATGTATAGTGATCATAGAAAAATCGCTCTTGGAGAAAAAATATTTGGAAATTCACAAAATTTGCAGACATGTTCTTGTTCTTTATATGTCAAACTAGCTACTGTCCAAATTTGAGGGCAAACGAACAAGTTCCCTTTGACTAGTAGCTTTCAAAAGGGACCAAAAAGATGATTCAGATGCTCACATTTAGAGGTTATGAAAAACTCAACAATTCATTTAATTATTTCAAAATTCTTAATATGGTATGATAGCCAGCTCTATAAGCTTTAATTTGATATAGGGGTTTGGACGCGAGACACCTCTGAGGGTGCTCTGAAGGTATACGGTAACCTTAAAGAACCTTTGATCAATCCTACATGTAACTTGTTAGCCTGTGTGTTTAGGTCTTGCAAGGTTCATTGATATTGTTATCATGTATTATTTAACAGGTATGTCGATATGAGCCAGAAACTGAAAAGATGTTTGACTTCTCTGCTGAAAGAACCTTACAAAGTGTTGAGGAAAGCTTAAAGCGCTTAGGACTAGACTACATTGATGTAATTCAGGTACAGAAGAACATTGGTGCTTTATTGGCAACTTTTCCCCCTTTATACCCCCAAGTAGGGACATTTTTATAGAATTTCACTTCCTGTTAGACATTTGGAATCCAGGGAAGGGGAACTTCCATTTGAGAAGATCAGGGGTGCTCGTCAGAAAAATTGAATTGAATTCCTAAAGGAGACTAATGTGGACGCCAAAAAGACGATCAACAGACAAGAGAATTGAGGAGAATTCGAATGACACGTTTCGCTATTATTTATACAGTGTTGTAAATACATGTAAATACTTCAAAGATGAATATGGACATGGTGAAATGATTTGAACAAAATAGTGGGTAATAGAAAAAAAAAGACATTACACAAGACTGGGAGTCAGCAGTCACTAATATCGCCTTGGAAAGGGAAGAAAAAAAAAAGTTATTGCAATACGGGGTATTCGAATTTGGTCACACATCCAAGCAGGAACCCCACCAAACAGGGCTTAACTTTGATGAGCATTCGAGACATGGTGCCATCCTTGTGGTACTATGACTCTATGTTTGATAAGTTTTATTATTAAGATCAGAAGGTAACAAAGAAATAAAAACATCACTGATATCGCCTGGGAAAATAAAGAACAAAACAAGAATCCAATTATACTTGCTTTGCTGATCGGACAAGAAGCCATATACTTGTCTCGGACGAGGATCACCAATAACTTCATGAATGTTTTCAAGGGTGTTACATCTCCTCGTGTATTCTCTTACCGTTGCATTTTGCCTGTGGGCTTTAACTTTAACTTAACCTACAGATTAAAACCTCAAGTCAGTGGCATCAACACTTTCACTGTTTACAGACGACCCATTTTCCAAGTTGAGTGGCTCATTTTACTTCAAAAACAGCTGTGGACAAGGTGCATCTTGAAATTTGTCTTGATTGCAAATTATTACTAACAATAATAATTATTGTCAACAGGTTCATGACATGGAGTTTGCACCTTCTTTAGACATTGTTATCAATGAAACATTACCTGCCCTACAAAAGGTATGTTGCGATAGCACTTTTATAAAGCCTTTTATGAAGTAGTTGTTGTGGAAACTTGTTATGCCAAGAAAAATGGAATTTCTGGCAATTGAGTGGCTACGAATTAGTCAGAAATTAAATGTTTCTACAGCATGGTACATAATGTAGCAACAGGCCATGAGCCCGAGTCCCTTGGTGAAGCTGCATCATGGGGTAATGGCATGTGAGTATTTAAGCTTGGGATTGCACTTGCACAATCATTCTTATCTAGGCCAACACCACTCACCAGAATTTTTAATTAATGTTTATTTCTGAATATTTTGCTTTGTGGAATGGGCTGCAGGAACTTGGGCCTGGTTCCTACCCAGATTTCCTACATGTCCTTTTTTTCCCTAGGTTCTTTTTCTCTACTCTCTATTTACGCTCTATGATCTTTTTTTAAATTTTTTTTTATTATAGAAAACAAAAGTTACAAATACTTTCAGAACAATACTTACTCTACTTACGATACGACACAATAGTTAGTCTACTTACAATACAATAGAATATTTTACTCTACTTATCACTCTACGATCTACAATCCACCCTCTAAGCCCATCTGCACTTTACTCTCTACAATCTACGATCTACCCTCTAAGCCCATCTGCTTGGAAGATTATTGGAAGTTTTTAATTTTTTTTTGAATGAAGACTAGTGAGCAGCACAAAAGAAGACTTCTTGTAGTTGTAAGCTTTTTCACTTATTTCCGACGTGCTTCGTCTCTATCTGAGACTTCTTCAGTGAATGATTAAAGCATGCTTAAGTTTAACAAACCCATGGAAGTGAATAACTGCTGAAACATGTGTTAACAGACAGGGCTGGAAATAACAGTCGGTCATCGGACATTGTCCGACCAAATTTTGAATATGTCTGGCCAATTTTACATTATGATCGTACATGATGTCCAAACATTTTACCAACACCAAGTTATTGTCCATCCATAAAATTTGGTTAGATACATTAATAAAAGGCTCGAAATTGCGACCGGTATGGTCACCACTACAGCTAAAATTTTTATCTTTGGTGGCCAAAAATTCTGGTCGACAGCCAAAAATATGTCTGCATTCAAAGGCTACCATAATGGCGACTATGTTTCTCTGTGTTGACGATCAATAACGGTTATTTTCTCAGACATTATGTTCTTCCAGAACTACATAGTGAAAGGCCTTGGCAAGATTTCTGTATAACCCCATACATTTATTATGCATACAGTTCTTTGTTTAACTAAACAATAGCGAAAACAATAGCGCTCCTTTGAGACTTATCTGATTTGAAT